AAATATTACAATAAAAATGAAAAAAAATAATGACAAAAATACAAAATAAAAATAGTTAAAAACACACAGATTTTCCATTACTTATTTTCCTTTGACTTATTTCCCGGACCTCCTCATACCTCCCTTTTTTGTATTCCACTTCAATCTGTTGGTTAAGCAAATCCTTTAAAAGTAATAATATTAAATTTTTACCTATTTATAACCCTTTTTTCATATTCCTTTAAAGCATTACAGCTGGAAACCACTTAATTACTATCCAACATCATTCTAACATTCATTAATTTTACAATATTTCTGTAGATAATCTTTGAATTTCTTCCAATCTTCTTCCACCGACTCTTCTCCCTGGTCTCGGATTCTGCCAGTCATTTCTGCCAGTTCCATATAGTCCATCACCTTCATCTGCCATTCTTCCAGAGTGGGTAGATCTTGTGTCTTCCAATACTTTGCAATGAGTATTCTTGCTGCTGTTGTGGCATACATAAAAAAATTTCTGTCCTTCTTTGGCACCAATTGGCCGACTATGCCTAGGAGAAAGGCCTCTGGTTTCTTCAAGAAGGTATGTTTAAATACCTTTTTTCAGTTCATTATATATCATTTCCCAGAAGGCCTTAATCCTTGGGCACGTCCACCAAAGGTGAAAGAATGCACCTTCAGTTTCTTTACATTTCCAGCATTTATTGTCGGGCAAATGATAGATTTTTGCAAGCTTGACTGGGGTCATGTACCACCTGTATATCATTTTCATAATATTCTCTCTTAGGACATTACATGCCGTAAACTTCATACCTGTGGTCCATAACTGTTCCCAGTCAGCAAACATAATATTATGTCCAACATCTTGTGCCCGTTTAATCATAGCAGATTTCACCGTTTCATCCTGAGTATTCCATTTCAACAGCAAGTTATACATCTTTGACAAAATCTTAGTTTTGGGTTCTAACAGTTCTGTTTCTAATTTTGATTTTTCCACCTGGAAGCCAATTTTCTTGTCCAAATTATATGCCTCCATTATCTGATAATAATGAAGCCAGTCTCGCACTTTATGTTTTAGTTTCTCAAAACTCTGCAGTTTCAGTGTATCTCCATCTTGTTCCAAAATTTCCCAATATTTCGGCCAATTGGCCTCCATATTGAGCCTTTTCAGAGCTTTCGCTTCCATCGGTGACAGCCACCTTGGGGTTTTGTTTTCCAACAAATCCTTGTATCTTATCCAAACATTAAACAGTGCTTTCCTGACAATATGGTTTTTAAATACTTTATGCGCTTTGACCTTGTCATACCACAGATATGCATGCCATCCAAATACATTGTTAAAACCTTCTAAGTCCAAAATGTCTGTGTTTTCAAGAAGTAGCCATTCTTTCAACCAGCAAAAAGCTGCTGATTCATAGCAAAGTTTAAAGTCTGGCAGGGCAAATCCACCCCTTTCCTTTGCATCAGTTAATATCTTAAATTTTATTCTGGGCTTCTTGCCCTGCCAGACAAATCTAGAAATATCTCTCTGCCACTTCTTGAAACAGTGCATCTTGTCCACAATTTGCAATGTTTGAAACAAAAACAGCATTCTAGGCCATACATTCATTTTTATCACAGCAATACGACCCAACAGTGAAAGCTTCAAATTTGACCAGATTTCTAAATCTTTTTTCACTTCCGTCCAACATTTTTCATAATTATCTTTAAATAAGTTCCCATTTTCTTCCAGTGTTTCTTCTGTTAGCTGTTCCCCATCCAGTATTTCCCAGCTTCTGCCTTCTGAATCATGCCCCTCTGCAAACCACTGTTCCAAATCTATACTGTCCTCCTGCTCCTGGGAAAATTCAGGGTCACACACAGTCAAATCTAATTGGCTACATTATGATTTCATTATTCACAGGGAGAGGATCTCTTTTTATGATACCAATGCAACAGCCACTCGGTGCTTCAAACATCTACAAAGATTAGCATAGTGAGGTGTCTGGGGTTTTTAAAAGAAGGCTCCCACATATATACTCACAAACTTTTACAGGCAAGATATGTTAGCTTGGGAACACACAGTGTATTCCTAGTAATAGTAACCTAATTCCTAGGGTGGATGTGGACCATCATGATTCCCTAACTAGTAAAGATAAAAAAGGTAAAGGACCCCTGGACGGTTAAGTCCAGTCAAAGGTGACTATGGGGTTGTGGCGCTCATCTCACTTTCAGGCCGAGGGAGCAGGCGTTTGCCCACAGACAGCTTTCTGGGTCATGTGGCCAGCATGACTAAACAGCTTCTGGCACAAAGGGACACCGTGACAGAAACCAGAGTGCACAGAAACACCATTTACCCTCCTGTCGCAGCGGTACCTATTTCTCTACTTGCACTGGTATGCTTTCGAACTGCTAGGTTGGCAGAAGCTGGGACAGAGCAACGAGAGCTAGCTCTGTCATGGGGATTCGAACCGCCTTCCGATTGGCAAGTCCAAGAGGCTCAGTGGTTTAGACCACAGCGCCACCCACATCCCTAACTAGTAAAGCTGAAGGAAACACGTCTTGACCCCATTCGCATTTTGACATTATCAGGTATACTCAGAGAGCTTCTTATGTGCCCATCCCATGTGAACAACAGTGCTTGAGCAAAACTTAAATTGGATACTCAATTTTTCCTGTGAATTATACCCCTATTTCTTTTTTTAAAGGTGATAATAGTTTTTTTTATATACAAAATCATAACCATAAATAAATAAGAACAAAAATGTGCACCCCACCATCGAGACCATTCCATTATAACTATCCAACCTCCCAAAATTTCATCACTTGCGATGGTTTGACCCCTTTCCGTTTTAACAGTACAAATTCTACAAACACCTACCATATCTCCTCAAAATCATTTCTCCTGCATATTCTCCATCTTACCTTAATGACACATGTTAGTTTATCATTAATAGCTATATCGCACACCTCTTTATACCATTATATACCCCTATTCTGTGACTCAGGCTGCCCGCCCAGCCGCCAAATTTTCAGACTTTCTTTGTTTTAGAGAAGACTTACAACTCACTTACAACTGCCATTGGAATACATAGGAAATAATTTCACGTCTTAAAACAGGTTTCTGCATCATTGTGATCACTCCACTGTCATGAAAAAAAAGCATTCTTCATATGCTCAGAGACAACCTTCTTTATCACTACAGCGGTACCTCGGGTTACATACGCTTCAGGTTACATACGCTTCAGGTTACAGACTCCGCTAACCCAGAAATAGTACCTCGGTTTAAGAACTTTGCTTCAGGATGAGAACAGAAATTGTGCTCCGGCGGCGCAGCAGCAGCAGCGGGAGGCCCCATTAGCTAAAGTGGTGTTTCAGGTTAAGAACAGTTTCAGGTTAAGAACGGACCTCCGGAACGAATTAAGTACTTAACCCGAGGCACCACTGTATTTCCAGGCACAATTGCGGAATTCTGGCATCGGAAAGAGCACAAAAATCCAACCTGGACTTAGGAACTCTGTCTCCATCCTCTATTTTTTGCTATTCCTAGTAGCATCGCGCCCACTGCAGAGCAGAGTAGGGCTGGCAAGCAAGGGCAGGGCAGGGGGGGGGGCTCCTCCTGTTTCTTGGGAGCCAAGCGCTTATTGCAGCTAGGACAGGCACTGACCCTTGGCATCTGTGCCCCGCTGGGAGCCCCATCTATCCACCCTGATCTTTCGCTCCCCGCCTAATTGCCAGCGAGGGCAGGATGGATTTCTTCATCTGACATCCTCAGAATGCTTAATAAATGCCGCTTGTCCAAGGAATTAATTCAGGCCGCCCTGCAGATATCAATCTTGGCGTTGGCTGGCATGCAGGTGATATACGGCCTGGCTGCCATTTATTAGCACAGGGCCGGTGGATTTAGGAAATGACTAATTTTATATGGTCTGGAGCGCAGTGCATCTCCTCGGACAGTAAATCCCAGCTGAGAAAAAGTGGGGAGGGAGCGGGGACACAAAAACTGCCTTCCCCAACAATAGGCATCATTCTCCCCCTGCCTGGCTCTGGAAGGGGAGCAGCAAGGCTTTAGCGAATAAGTTCCCGAGGAGGAAGTACAGTGGTACCTCGGGTTGAGAACTTAATTCGTTCCGGAGGTCCATTCTTAACCTGAAACTGTTCTTAACCTGAAGCACCACTTTAGCTAATGGGGCCTCCTGCTGCCGCCGCGCCGCCAGAGCACGATTTCTGTTCTCATCCTGAAGCAAAGTTCTTAACCCGAGGTACTATTTCTGGGTTAGCGGAAGCTGTAACCTGAAGTGTCTGTAACCTGAAGCAGATGTAACCCAAGGTACCACTGTAGGCCGAAAAACAACAGGGGTTTGGATGGATCTCGTCTGCATTCTCACCTCGTTTGGGGGAATAGTCCCTAGTAGGGTTGTCATATTCCCAAAACTAAAAATCTGGACAAAGCTGTTGAGCTTTCTTGGGGAACATCTCCCCCCAGAAAATTGAGTTTGGGGGCTTTGGGGATATTTTTAATGATTTTTTTCAAACCCCCCTTTGCAATACGTCTAGGTTTTCCCAGACATTTTGCCAATTTCACGAAAATATGCCCAGACACCAAAATGCTGCCTGATTTCCGGATATGTCCGGAAAAATACGGATGTATGCCAACCCTAGATGATGGAGCAGGGCAGAAAGATTGAGGTGGAGCTGGAAGCCAATATACCAGTGGTGCTTCTGAGAGACAGAAGCCCTAAACTGCCTCAGCCCATATACCTGAAGGAGCGTCTCCACCCCCATCGTTCAGCCCAGACACTGAGGTCCAGCACCGAGGGCCTTCTGGCGGTTCCCTCACTGCAAGAAGCCAAGTTACAGGGAACCAGGCAGAGGGCCTTCTCGGTAGTGGCGCCTTCCCTGTGGAACGCCCTCCCACCAGATGTCAGAGAACAACAACTACCTGACTTTTAGAAGACATCTGAAGGCAGCCCTGTTTAGGGAAGTTTTTAATGTTTTAACGTGTTTTTAATATTCTGTTGGGAGCTGCCCAGAGTGGCTGGGGAAACACAGCCAGATGGGCGGGGTATGTATGTATGTATGTATGTATAAATAAATAATTTATTATTTATACCCCGCCCATCTGGCTGGGTTTCCCCAGCCACTCTGGGCGGCTTCCAACAAAACACTGAAATAAAATAACCTATATTATTATTATTATTATTATCATCATCATCATCATCATTATCATTATTTATTATTATTATTATTATTATTATTATTATTACCCTCCCTTTCCCACCAAATGCAAAGGCCTGAGGGTCTGCCTACGTTCTTTTAAACAGCTTGTTTTTAAACTTCCCTAAACAGGGCTGCCTTCAGATGTCCTCTAAAAGTCAGGTAGTTGTTTATTTTTGACATCTGGTGGGAGGGCGTTCCACAGGGCGGGCACCACTACCGAGAAGGCCCTCTGCCTCTTAAAAACCATTGTAAACAGTTTAAATCATTACTAGGATTGGAATATCACTTGTAGCTTAAAGGTGGACACAATGGCGAGGTAAAAGATTTGGATTATCATAAAAGATTCAGGAGGAAATGATTAACAATAGGACCCACAAAGGGGAGGAGGGAAATCCTTGGAATCTTGTTTTTATGTTGTATGTTCGATATGTGACTATAAAATTTTAATCTGAAAAACCAAATAAGTAAATTTCTATATATAAAAAAAGAACTGTCACTGACATCAGCTGTAATTTCAAGGACTTGGGCTTGAGCTTGTTTTCCCCTCTGCCCTCCTGTTCTTGTTCCCTTTTGTGTCATGCTTTTTAGAACCAACGTTGGTAATTTGCGGTAACCGCAATTTTTTTGGCGGAGCTTCCCACAACGAGAGAACAAGGGGATATTGGGTGGTAGTCGTCCAAATATCGGGTTGTATCCAACGTTAGACATCCTTAAGAGTGGGCCCATAAAAAGCAATGGACCCAAGTGAGTCATGCTCATTAATTTCAGGAGAACTCAGCCGATACGCCCCACTGATTCATAGAACAAATGTCCTGCGTGCTGACACATGTCCCCTGCTCCCTGTCATATCCTCCAAATTGGTACACAGGTGGACGAGATTAAGTTATTCATTTCAAGGAGCAAGGCAACAGAGCAATCCTGTCTCATGGAGCCTGATGGCATTGTTCTGCCGGAGAATTTCGAGAGACAGAATTCACATTATGAAGTGATGAAAAGGTACCTCCTAAATCATGGCGCTCCACAAACAGAGCCGCTTCCCCACAGTTTCGTTTCATAGCGTGAATGTTTAAAGCAGTTTTCCAAACTATGTGCTGTGACATGTTACTGCGTTGGCTGCCGTGTGTAGATGTGTCGTGTGAACCATGGGTAGGCAAACTAAGGCCCGGGGGCCGGATCCGGCCCAATCACCTTCTCAATCCAGCCTGCAGACGGTCCGGGAATCAGCGTGTTTTTATGAGTAGAATGTGTCCTTTTATTGAAAATGCACCTCTGGGTTATTTGTGGGGCCTGCCTGGTGTTTTTAATGAGTAGAATGTGTCCTTTTATTGAAAATGCATCTCTGGGTTATTTGTGGGGTCTGCCTCGTGTTTTTACATAAGTAGAATGTGTCCTTTTATTTAAAATGCATCTCTGGGTTATTTGTGGGGTACAGGAATTCGTTCATTTTTTAAAATATATATATATATAGTCTGGCCCCCCACAAGGTCTGAGGGACAGTAGACCGGCCCCCCTGCTGAAAAAGTTTGCTGACCCCTGGTGTGAACACTCCTCCCGAGGCTGGAAAGTGGTTAGTTTAACCTCCGGATAGCTAGTAAAACTGAATCACTGTGCCGCACGAAATGATGCGTGTCTAAAAAGTGTGTCGCTGACATGAAAAAGTTTGGAAAGCTCTGGTTTTAAGGCTACCAAACATGTGGGCAGAGTCTGTTGTGTGGGTTCAGCTCACCAGGATGAGGAGGGCAACATCATCTGAACACAGTTCAGAAACTTCAGCTGGTACAGAATTCAGTGGTCAGGTTGCTCACCGGAGCAAGACGGTTTGAGCATATCACACCAATCCTGGTCCGAATGCATTGGTTGCCAATGAGTTTACGGGCCCAATTCAAAGTGCTGGTTTTGACCTATAAAGCCTTAAATGGCTCAGGACCGCAATACGTCAAGGACCACCTCTTTCCATATGAACCTACCCGGACCCCAAGATCATCCTCTGAGGCCCTTCTGTGTGTGCCTCCTCCTTGAGAGGTCTGGAGGCTCAGTGGTGGAGGGAGCCGCTGGGGAACCCAGTGGCAAACATGACGTGCACCCAGGGGTGGGGCAATCCTCCCAGGGGTGCCATTGATGGTGCCTGATCCTCCCGGGGGTGTCAGCACTGCACATGGGCATATCTGTGCGATTAGCAGGCAGATTTTCACAATAACGATCGCAACAATCGTGAAAATCTGCCCACCGGGGGTGCGAGCACCACCACACCGATCCACCCAGGGTTTTTTTTGTCACCCTCCCTAGGCATGTCACCCGAGGAAGGCCACATCCCCCGCATCCTCCTTGTGATGCCCCTGCAGAGGGTGGCAACACAAGAACAAGCCTTCTCTGTAGTGGCTCCCCGTCTGTGGAATTCTCTCCCCAGGGAAGTTCGCCTGGCGCCTTCATTATACACCTTTAGGCGCCAGGCAAAAATGTTCCTTTTTAACCAGGCCTTTGGTTGATCCGATTTACATCCTATGCCCTTTAAAAATGTGGGGTTTTTTGTTGGGGGTGCTATTGGGTTGTTGTTTTTATTTTGATTAGGTATTTTGTGGTTTCATATCTTAATTTTATTCTGTGAACTGCCCTGAGACCCCCAGGTATAGGGCGGTATATAAATTATAATAATAATAATAATAATAATAATAATAATAATTATAAAAAAACCCGCACCCTGCCCCCATGGCTGAATGTGGAATAAGTCCACAGAAAAGAGGTTTGAATAGCATCCAACCTCTGCTTAAAAACCTCCAAGGTCATTTAGACCTTTTTTGTTTGTTTGCTTGTTTGCTTATTTGCTTGTTTGAAGGACAAATTCGGGGTAGTCTTGGGGGCCACAAAAAACTTCGGAGGGCCAATATACAGCCTGCAGGGTAACTTATGCTAGATGGTGTCAGGGAACTGCCATCAGTGCCGGAGGGAGAGAGCAAAATCCAGAGGGATTCCGGAGAGCGTCCCGGGATTGGGAGAGGCAGCCCATCTTCTGGGGAAGAGAATCAGCGTAGCACCAGTGGAGAAGGGGGGCAGATGGGGGAAGCGGCAGGCGGTCCCATGACTCCTTGCTAGGGACCAGCGGGGAGAGTAGGGGTCCTCCGCTGCCTACGCCCTCCTTGCGCAGAAGACTTCCGCGCAGAGAGTAGGAGGAGACTAGGCGTCAAAGAGCTTCTTTGCTGGAAGAAGTTTAAGAAACGCCCACTGACGGATTCTGCCAGCGATTGAGACAGCCACGGGTGAGTGGCTGTCCGGACAGAAAAGGTTCACTCAGGCAATCCAGCCAGGTGTTTGCACCGGCTTACGCACGAGCAACCCCTAGAACCATTACAGATGGCATCCAAGGTTGCCCACTTGTGAAGGACTCAGTTTGTGGGGCAAAATATGCTTCCAAACTCTCCTCTCTGGACTTCTTGTTTGAAAAATCAGCTGGTCCCCAACAATTATTGTTTTATCATTATTACTGATTAAAGTTTTCAGTCACTTCATCAGTCGCTTTATCTTGCCCAGGGCAACAATACGAAGTGACTTGCAACCAACCAACTAGACGAAGGTTAGAGAAGGGGATCATTTTTGCTGCTCTCTGTGGGCAGCATATTGAGTTGTGGCATTTTGAGACGTTTGTGTGTGGAAATCTCTGCTCACTTTTTCCACACGATGTCTAATTGTATGAGCCTCTTAACATGTTTTCCTGTAGTATCCAGGGGCAAGGAACCTGTCACCCTCCTTATAAAAATGACAACAACAACAACAACCTTGGACTGCAGCTCTCATCAGCTCCAGGCAGGCTGGCAAATGGTCAGCAATGATGGGAGGGCCATAGGCTTTCAATCCCTGATGAAGACTATCAGGCTGCAATCCAACACTCATTTACCTGGCAGTAAACTCTACTGGAAGTGAGAGCTGGACCATAAAGAAGGCTGATCGCCGAAGAATTGATACTTTTGAATTATGGTGCTGGAGGAGACTCTTGAGAGTCCTGTGGACTGCAAGAAGACCAAACCTATCCATTCTGAAGGAAATCAGCTCTGAGTGCTCACTGGAAGGACAGATCCTGAAGCTGAGGCTCCAATACTTTGGCCACCTCATGAGAAGAGAAGACTCCCTGGAAAAGACCCTGATGTTGGGAAAGATGGAGGGCACAAGGAGAAGGGGACGACAGAGGACGAGATGGTTGGACAGTGTTCGCGAAGCTACCAGCATGAGTTTGACCAAACTGTGGGAGGCAGTGGAAGACAGGAGTGCCTGGCGTGCTCTGATCCAGGGGGTCACAAAGAGTGGGACACGACTAAACGACTAAACGACAACAAAAACTCTACTGACTACAATGGGACCGATTTAAGAGGAGTCACATGAGGATTGTGTTGTCCATCACTACTAGTGTTATGACCTTACGGGTGAAATTCCACACACATTTGTTTATTTATTTGAAAGATTTATATCCCACCCTTCCGATGCATTTGCATTGCTCCCAAGAGCAATTAAAATACAAGCCTGTAATAAAACACTGTAAAAAAAAAAGTTATGTTTCTTGTGATGTGAGATTTGCCTAACGGGTGGGTGGTGGGTGATCTGCATATTCAAGATTATAGAGGAACGCAAGGCAACTCTGCACAACGCGTTAACGGAGGGCTGACTTGGGGACTAAGCGCCGTGGGAAGCAATGGGACTAATGGCCTAGGACTGCATTGTAAGGCAGCACTCATGGTCCCTTACATCAGAGTAAGCCCCATTCAATTCTGAACAGATAAGCATGGGATTGCCTTGTAAACGGACAAAAAGAATCTGTTATCGGTGCCTCTGATTGTCAAGCTGGTGGTAGCAGGATTACTGCCTGCATTCAGTGAAACTATTATTATATCTCCCTTGATTTCCTCCTTGGAAAGCATTCTGTTTAC